CATAGTATTACATTCTATATTGCTATTAAAGCTTAAAGCACATTGATACATCAATATAAAGACAAAAAACAAAATCTATTGTGCACAATCGCATTGCTATGTAGCTTCCATATTGTTTTGTATTTTACTGTTAATCAACTAATTAATGGCCATAAATCAATGTATGTTAGCGCCAATCAAATAATTATCAATTATAAAAATTACTTCTTCTGTACATCCCCCCCCCCGTTATCTTGAACTTATGCCTTTTATTTTTGAAGATAGCATCAATCTTCCCTTCTCTGCAATTGATTAGGGAAGGAAATAAAAGCGCTATTAGTTCTGTTTTATCTTCTGGAAAGATTTCAGTATCCTTGGTCTTCTCTGAAAGTAAAGAGTTTGAAAGATTTGTTTTGTCTACGTAAGAGCTTGTTGTCTCTCTGTTTGGTGTACAAGATTCTTTCAGAAAAACCTCATGTCTGAGATCCTGTTTTTTTGGGTGACGTCACCAGAATAGTCTGCTCTTCTTCATACCTTCCTAAGAATTTTTCCAGTGGTTTCTGGAGAGCTTTTGTGAGCATTGGTAGCAAATGGTCTTCAAAAATTTTCCCACAGTGTATCCAGCTCTTTAAATGAAGTCATAGACGCCATCATGTTACCTTATACCAGTTTCACAACCATATAGTCTATAGTTCTAATAAATTTGCTCAGTAGCCAAATGTTGTTTCTGTATCTGTTTTATTTTAATAAAACAAGTATCCTTTTATCTGTTGAAAATGCACCACAAGTCTCAAATCACTGAAGCTGAGATGTAAATAGTTCCTTTTGTTTAGCCCCAGGAGTTGTTTTTTTACATTCTTTGACATCTCAGTTCTTTTGTCTGCCGCTGAAGAGAGGAAGGGGGCGGGGGGGGGGGAATTCTGCTCCTCTCTTCCTTACCTTCTTGGTGAAATTCAGAAGGGCGCAAAAATTTTGGGAGGTTTTTCAAGCTTAAAAGTTGCAAGAAACAATTACAGTCCTTCGCTGATGTTTGTAGCGAGGTTCAAGGCTCTCTTCTAGGAACTTGTCACAGCTTGGCAGCCATGTCTAGACATGCTGCGCACCTCTTGCTTCGGCTTCAGGATGATCCCTTAGCACAAACCCGATCAATTCCTCTGCAACTAACTCTTCCTCCAGAAGTGTTAGTGGGATATCGGATGAATCCGATTATCCCCTAAGAAGCAAAGAGAGTCAGAGTTCCTCTGGAGCCCCCCGAGAGAACGTCTGCTTTGCTGCGATGTAAGCTCCGCCTCTAAGAAATAAGAACATTGAATCACCAGTGACATAGGAACATGAGACAGTGTCCTGCAATGTGGAGCTAGGGTTGCCAAGTCCTACCTGTCGCTGCAGTGGGGGACTCCCGGCTCGCTCCTGGAGTGCACGCGCGCAAAGCGTGCATGTGCCACAACCACGTCACCCAGAAGTGACGCGACCACGCCGGGCGCGCTGAGGGCGGGGCCACGACCATCTGAGGGAAAACCATAGAGTTTTCCCTCGGATGACCGTGGCCCCGCCCCCAGCGTGCCCAGCGTGGTTGCGTCACTTCCGGGTGATGGGCACGTCACGTACTTTGGGGCTGGGGTTCCCCCGGGGCCCGATCCGCCGCCGGCAGGGAACGGGCCTCTGGGGCAGGGGTTTCCCCACCCCCCGGGGGGACTTGGCAAGCCTATGTGGAGCTCATAGTTTACCTATGAAACAGCTCTTGGTCATTACTAGGAAGCTTACTGGAAACAATCTTTATTTTATTTTATTTAGAACATTCTTATGCCACCTTTCCAGCCAATCAGGATCCACAAGGGAGCAAACATAAAAAACATTAAAACATTTTAGCAATTAAAATACAGCTAAAATTGTACAGTTAAAATAAAACCACGTAAACAACGCCAAGAGGAGGGCCTGTAACCATTATTGGGGGTATGCCAGGCAAAACAAAGTTTTCATCTGTTGGAAGACACCGATATAGGGAGACAGACAAATCTCCCTGGTGAGGGAGTTCCAAAGTTTGGTGCCATGTCTGAGAAGTTCCTTTCTCAGGTTGCTGGCTATCTAGCTTCAAATCGTAGGGGCAACCAAAGCAGGGCCTCCAAAGATGTCTGGATTTTACAGGTGGGTTCATGTGGGAGGAGGCAGTCCTTATGTTGGTCCCAGGCCCTTGAATTGAATCTGGAAGCAAATTGGAAGTCTATGTACATGGAACAAGACTGGACATTAGCTCAGTCTGTTGCAGCATGAGTTTTAAAAAGATAGATTCATTGACAGGCATTGCTAGTAAAGGGGATAAGAATAAAATAGGAAACTTAATGCTCTTATACAGACCTATGTCACATTTACATTTGAACTCTTTGTGCAGATATTGTTACCCCAAAGAATGTCCTTTAGTTGTGAAAAGACACCTAAGAGGGAACATGGAGGTGTTCTATAAATTGTGAATGGTATGAAGCACTGGTTCCCAAACTGTGGTTCACTCACAGAGGTGTCACAGCAATAGATGCTGTGTAGCCCTAGAACCCAGTCAGACTTCCAATCTGGTTCCAGTGAAGCCAGCTGGACATATGTCCCCAAAGAATGGGGAAATCTTCCCAGTTAAAGCTAAGGTGGTGCTGTTACCACTCCAACTGCAATGTGTTGGCAGACTTTACCATAGGAGTTCTTTCCATAAGACATCTGGGCCTCCCAGTGAAGCTCACCGGGATGCTGTTGATGATGTAGTGCTCACAGCACCTTACCATTACTTGGGAGACATGGATGTCTTTCAAGGGAAAGGACAGTCTTCCAGGTCAGGTCTGTTGTCAATATTAGCATCCAATGAAGCCCACCAGATGTCTACACCTGTGCCTCCTAGTGAAGCCAGTAAGGATACTGTAGTTGCCATGGGAGCTGCAGTGCCTTGACCTCATTTGAAGATGCATGTGTCTCCCAAGAGGAGAGGAAGGTTTTCCAGGTCATGCCAACATGGCAACCGCATCATCCCAATCAGCTTCAACTGGGAAGTCCAGATGTCCCTTTTTTACTTACTCTTCCCTCGTTGTCCAAATACCTACCTGGTTCTTAAACTATGATTGTATCTAACAGACCACTAACCAAATGTGATAACAGATCAGGGATTCATTAAGCCTCCTCTTGATCCCTGGTTAGGATGATATAACAGGGAAACTATCAAATATATGGCAATACTTGGGTATGGTTTAGCTTGGGTGTTCACATGTTGTACAGACCTGACCTAGCCCTTTAAGTGTCTTGCCTTAAGACCAGATGCGGAGCTCTGCTGGATCAGTACTGTGGTCTGTCTAGCACAGTACATTGACTTGGAGGACCTTGGAATTATACTTATTTCAGTGGCCCAAACAGTGCTACGTTTACCAAACCACACATTCATCCCTTGAATGTTTTGTTGGGCAGTACAGTACTCTTCATTTTTAATACATACCTAGAAGAAAAAGGAGTAGCATTCATTAGAAGTTGTATGGAACTAAATAGACCTGAATTCATATTCCTAATTCTTTTAGAAATGTTAGAACTTCATCTCTAGGCAGGAAAATGGATTTTCAGATCCAGCATTAGGTATTAGAAGAAAGCTTGTAACAGTGAACTTTATTTGCCTGCAGGTGCCCGGATCATAGAACCCACTGTGCTTTAAGTTTAGTAATTTGTGTCAATTGTAAGATCATCTCGGTGAGATTTTTGTGGGATATCTTACCTTCAGTGCTTGCTTCTTTCTGCTGGCACAGAATCAACATCTTGCCTTTTTCAAAGGCATTCTTTGCCAGGATCCTCTTTGCTACAAAAAGTACTCTAGGGAATAGGTATATCCTCTCTAAGGAGCTTATTTTCTCCTTGAGATATTATTTCTTTCGCATATTTTGTCACACCTTATTACAGGCCCAACATAACATATGCACCCCATGGAAGCAGAATAGTCCATGCTTGCCAAGGAGTCTTTTCCCATTCTCACTGTCTACCCTGATAATATTTCTGTCTAACTAAAATGATTACGATATTTAGCAGCATTAATTATGAGAGAGCTCTGTAAAATCTGCCTTCAGTGTTATGGGATTTTCAAATAGAATAGTTCCATAATTCTTCAATTTCCACTCTTGTTCCTGAACTTTAAACTAGATTGTATATTGAGGTAGTTTTTTATATCCTGTAGCTAAAACTGGAACAGTATTTCAAATTCTTGAGACTCAAACTGCAGTATGGGTATTATACTAGCACCGTGTCCAGAAACAAAAGGTATTCCTTGTGTACATTTATCTTCTGTTATATTCACCAGGGGCTGCTGTAGAGAGACAAAGCATCAGATTGGATCAAGCAGGAGTTCGTGGAAGAGTTGGTGGGGCAAATCTTTCTCTAGGCAGCCTTCCATTTTACCCAAAGTTCCTCTCTGAGGTTTGTGAGAGCTGAATAGCAATGTGTCAGTTTAAAGTCCTGTTTCTCCCTCTTCTGCTCACCGCTTGCATCAGTAGACGAAAGAGGAGACAGTTTTTACCCATATCCCCCCTCATTGTTGCACCTCCCTATCCTGTAGCACATTTTGCTTGGGAAGCTCTTGCCACCCTCAGGAGTTTTGAGACAAATTGCAGGCTGTTGGGGGAAGACAGGGAAAGATCACTCTGACAGCTCTTTCCACGAACTCTTCCACTGGATCCAGTGCGTACCTTGCTTCATCTACCTGCATACAGGTCATCTCTTTGGCAGGGTAGAGTTATCCTATAATATTTTTCTGCTGCTTCCAAGGGAAGGTATTGTGTTGTGTTTCTCTCCTGCTGAAGTTCTTTGAAAATAAAAAAAAGTTAGTTGTGAGAAATTTGTATTGTTCCCAGGAGTCAAAATATACAACTGATTTAAATATAGGAATAAATTACATATACAAATTAAATATAGGAATAAATTAAAGATTTTTTCCAGTTAAGTACAACCTGAATAGATTGACTATAATATCTTCATAAGTTTTATAATCATATTTATATATTTTTTTGCAGTCATTATATGAGACAGATTCTGGAAGCACTACGCTATTGTCATGATAATAACATAATTCACAGGGATGTGAAGGTAAGTCATATGTTGATATCACAAAAATATTTACAATATTCACTGTCTACTATATTATAGTATGGCATTTCAGAAGTCTTTTATATTGTGTATCACTTTTTCATTGCTGCCATGTAGCCTAACTCCTACTGGGAGTTGATTCAAAACCTAATCAGCACATGAGAATACCAGAATCGTTAGTATTGCCAACAACATACTGTAAAAGAACTGGAAAGTTAACAAATGTGTGTGGCACCACAAGCCTTTTGTTTTTGCCTAGATTTTCTGAACCTTTATGACTATATTGTCTTTTTCTAGCTTTCATTTCCAGACAAGGGCTTACCTTGGGATGACACTGCTTGTTGCACTAGCAAATTTTCTGCTAAGTGAAGGAAACTACAATGAGACTTCCGCTTTCATCCCCAAAATGAATAATTATTGTTGTCAAATATATCGGGAAAGAATTTTAACTTCCAAATTTGTATAGTATTTTCAGTGCAAAGTTAACTGAAGCGCAAGGTTATAAGGTGGTCTTGCTACAGACTCTATCCAAACTTTTCTTAAATATGTTATCTACAAAAATCAGGATCTAAGACCTTTCTGGCTGCAGCAGGACAAGCAACTTCTATTAAGTTTTTTCTATGGCAGTTTTCACCAATGGGCATTAAATTAAAGACTAGCCTAAATATATAAGGAAGAAAATAAATCATGTAACCTGGATGAATAAAAATGTTCCTTTTAACAGTGTTATAAATCTGATTCTTTTTTCCACCATGAGTATGCTTCTGTAGTTTACTTATATATTTGGCAGTAGAACTGAATGAGAGTAATGCCATTATAAACAACAACAACAAAAGCAGTAGCCAAAGCAAAACAAAACATGGTATCCTCCTAATTATCTCCATATTCTGCTTCTAGCTGGGCCATCATCTTCCTGCACCTGTGTCCCAGCTCCCGCCGGTGGGGTTGGACAGGAGGAGGGTCTTGGCACGGCAGCGGGGCTGCATCAGGGAGGCCTCTCGGTGTGTTCAGCGGTGGCATTGGTGGTGGTGGCGGGGCATAGCACGGAGTGGCGTCAGAGCTGGCTTGGCTGGCCCGGACGACAACGACAGGGCTGCCTGCAGAGGGGCGACCTCTTGCTGCAGCAGCAGTCACCGCCCTGCCCCCGCCTTGACCGTGGCATTTCTGAACATGTGTGGGCTCTTGCACCTCTTCTCCACCTCTCCCAGTGGTCCTGCTCACCCTCCGACCGCCGGAGCACCTGTCCCCTCGGCTGGCTCAGAGCACAGTGAGCCAGAGATGCTGCCGGCTGGCTCGCCACCTCTGTGGGCAGGACGGAGGCAAGGGAGCCAGCCAATGCAGCCAGGGGATCCTTCAGAGTGGCAGCTGCGGGAGCGTGTGCACCAAAACTCTTTTATATATTATGTACTATTGCTGCCACATTTACAGATAGTACATTGATCCCATGTGCTGAAACAAAGATGGTTAGCATATGGGGTCATGGCAACCCAGCACTGAGCTGAAATGCTGACGTACATATTGACATGAATAATCAGAGTTCCCAAACAATTTACTGTTTTACACAACACAGCATTGTCTGGCCAATGAGCGCCATATTCATAATAGGCAGCCAAAAAAAGACACTGAGGAACACTCCATATTTTGAAGCAGCAATATTTATTTGGTAGACCTCCTATGGCTTTTTGATTGATACTAGTTTTTAAAATATCAATATAGAAACAATATTTCCAAAGTTGCCAATAAAAAATAGGAAGGAGTAAATAAGATCTTTGACAGAGGCATCTGAAGGCTGAAGATATTTTTAAATTCCCATGAATGCCATTTTTTCTTCCTTAGGCAACAAGTGAACTGCACCACAAAGCCAGTTGGGTGTAGTGGTTAGGAGTGCGGACTCTAATCTGGGAGAACTGGGTTTGATTCCCCACTCCTCCACATGCAGCTGCTGGTGTGACCTTGGGTCAGTCATAAGTTCTTTCAGAGCTGTTCTCTCAAGGTCAGTTCTCAGGAGAGCTCTCTCAGCCCCACCTACCTCACAGGGTGTCTGTTGTGGGGAGAGGAAGGGAAGGAGATTGTAAGCCTCTCTGAGATTCCTTCAGGTAGTGAATGGCGGGGTAAAATCTAAACTCCTTCTTCTGAAGTTATTTTTTCTGTAATGCATGTTAAATGTACTCTGTTATCACTTGCATAAAAATAAAGAGTTTGATTTCCTCTTTCTTATGATCATGAATGTTTGTAATGCTATTGATAGACTTTTTGATGGGGCAGGCAGTATAACATTGTAGTTTCGATATCTAGCATGTAGATGTCCATTTAGGCTACTACTTTGTCACTTATGAGGTTATCATATCTCACTGGTGCAAGGGCTGGTGACTGGTCCTTGGTCTTGCTGATAGATATAGTGCTAGTCTTATCATCCTGCCACACCCCCTCCCTTCTGAAGTCTGCTTCAAATGAGGGCTTGAAATTATATCTCTGCAGCATCTTGGATGGCATGCTAGTAAAGGTAAAGGTTTCCCTTGCTCGAAAGCTAGTCAAATCAGACTCTAGAGTTGCAGTGCTCATCTCCGTTTCCAAGACGAAGAGCCAGCGCTGTCCAAAGATGTTTCCATGGTCATGTGGCCGGCATGACTAAATGCCAAGGTGCACAGAATGCTGTTATCTTCCCACCAAAGCAGTACCTATTTATCTACTTGCAATTTCTTACTTTCGAACTGCTAAATGCTACAACTTGATATGTTTCATTGGTGTAAGTAAAAAAGCTGTTGGCTAAAAACAAGTTATGTTGTATTTTAAAACTAAGCTAAAGAGAAAAACATACAGGTGTGTACAGAAGCTAGACTTGTTAATTATAGATATTGAAACATGGCATTATATTTTCTAGAGAACTTTCATGATACCATAGATGGGAAGGGTGTGCATGTTCTGAACTAATACCCAATTGTATCAGAAGGAGTTATTCTGTTCTGGCAAAATTGGGTGAATATGGTTTCCTTTGTCTGTCATAATTGCTGTGCCATTTAGTGAAATTTGCCAGGCTCTTCAAACAATTACTTATTCCTTTACCAGAATTGGAATGGTGATAAAGGAAAACAGTAATTTGGTTCTTTATGGAAGTAATTAATTTAATGAATGGACTACTGTAGCAATTTTAGAATAGTATGACTATTGGCACTTAAGTACTAATGCGAATTAGTTTTTTTCTGCTTATTGCTTTCCATTGTTGGTACTTACATCAAACCATGATAAACCACAGAAAGCAGTTCTGTAGCCAGTTACAGGGTTGCCAACTCTGGGTTGGGAAATACCTGTAGATAAGAAGAAGAAGAAGAAGAAGAGGAAGAGGAGATTGGATTTATACCCCACCCTTCACTTAGAGTCTCAGAGCGGCTTACAAACTCCTCTCCCTTCCCCTCCCCACAACAGACACCCTGTGAGGTGGGTGGGGCTGAGAGAACTCTGACACAAACTGCTCTTTTTTAAGGACAGCTATGCCAGAGCTTGTGACTGACCCAAGGTCACATCAGCAGGTGCAAGTGGAGGAGTGGGGAATCAAACCCGGTTCTCCCAGATTAGAGTCTGCACACTTAACCACTACACCAAACAGGGCAGGGTCTGGAAAGTGGTGCCAAAGCCAGTTACAGGGTTGCCAATTCTGGGTGGGGAAATACCTGTAGATTTGAGGGGTAGAGCCTGGGGAGGGCAGGGTTTGGGGTGAGGAGGGACCTCAGCAGGGTATAATGCCATAGAGTCCACTGCCCAAAGCAGCCATTTTCTCCAGAAGAACTGATCTTGGTTATCTAGAGATCAGTTGTAATAGCTGGAGATCTCCAGGTGCCACCTGGAGGTTGGCTTATGTTGATTTGGGGCTATGCAGTGGCAGCTAAGGAAGAAAAGCAGCTCCTCCTATGCCATGTTTTCTGTGTTCCAAGGGTCTGGAAAGTGGTGCCATAGCCAGTTACAGGGTTGCCAACTCTGGGTGGGGAAATACCTGTAGATTTGAGGGGTAGAGGACCTCAGAAAATGACCACAGTAGTTGAGTAGGTTATAAAGGAGTAGATAGTCCTTCGGGTATGTTGGTCCCAAATCATATCGGGCTTTAAAGGTCAATGCCTCGAATTGTGCCCAAACGCAGATTGAGTGATCTGGTTCCAATGGGCCACTGCTGTCAACATCCTGACTGCAGCATTCTGCACCAATTGAAGTTTTTAATGTTTTTCAAGGGCATCCCCATGTAGAGTGCATGCCAGTAATTTAATCTAGATGTAGCCAGGGCATGCACCGCAATGACCACATCTTTTCTGCCCAGGTAAGGCTGCAGCTGGCTAACCAGTCGAAGCTGGTAACAGGTACTCCTGGGCACAGCTGCCACCTACTTTTCCAGCAGTAGGCCCTGGGTCCAAGAGCACCTGCTGTTCCTTCAGCCCCATCCAGAACAGTGACACTTTATGTCCTGGGTCAGACCTTCCACTCACTAATAACACTTCAGTCTTGCTGGGATTAAGTTTCAGTTTATTAGACTACATCTACTCCGAAACTGCCTCCAGGCTCCTGTTTAAGGTTTCTGCAACCCTGGGATCAGCCAGATCTGCATACTGATGACAACCCAGCACAAATTTTGGGATGACTTCACCCAGCAGTTTCATGTAGATATAAAAGAGCATGGGACACAGCCTTGCAGAACCCCACAGTCCAAGAGGCTGGTGACAGAAATGGGTAGTGGCTTTCAGCACTTCTTGCCAGTTCTCTTGCTCTGGTTATTCCAAATTGATGAGTTAGATGGGTTCATTGCCAGCAGTTGGGCTGTCAATGGCATCTGTTGTTCTCACCCATTCTGTGCCAAGACCTAAGGAGTCTGCAACCTCCTATCTCGTCTCTGCTCTACACACAAGAGCTAAAGATTTACCTTTTAAGAAAATAAAATCTGGCAATCCAGAGAATCTAGTAGATTGTGTCAACAGATCATTATAGTGTTGTTGTCCTGTAGCGACCTAGCAATTGCT